AATTTTTAAAAATTTTTAAAAAATGTGAATGCACCTAACAACAGAGTGTCAAAATATATAAGGCAAAAAATAATAGGACTCCAAGGAGAAATAGATGAATCTACTCTCACAGTTGGAGACTTCAACACTCCCCTGTCAGTAATGGACAGATCCAGCAGTCAGAAAACCAGCAAGGACATAGTTGAATTGAACAATGTCATCAGTCAACTGGATCTATTTCACATCTATAGAACACATCATCTAACAACAGCAGAATACACTTCCTTTACAAGCTCACAGAGAACATTCTCCAAGATAGACCACATTTGGGCCATAAAACACACCCTAAATTTTAAAAGAACATAAATCATATGAAGTATGCTCTCAGATCACAATGCAATAGAAATCCATAAGAGAAAGGTAGTTGGAAAACTCCAAAATAGTTGGAGAGTAAAACACACATTTCTAAATAACACATGGGCCAAAGAAATTTCAAGGGAAATTTAAAAAATGTTTGAACTAAATGAAAATTAAAATACAATTAATCAAAATTGTGGGACACAGTGAAGGCAGTACTTAGAGGGAACTTTATAGCATTGAATTAATATATTAGAAAAGAAGAAAGAGCTAAAATCAACAATCTAATCTTCTGCCTTAGGAAACTAAAAAGAGCACACATTGAATCCGAAATAAGTAAAAAAAAGGAAATAATAAAAATGATAACAGAAAGCAGTGAAACTGAAAATAGGAAATCAAGAAATAAAATCAATGAACCAAAAGTTGGTTCTTTGAAAAGATCGATAAAATTGATAAATCTCTAGCTAGGTTAACTAAGAAAAAAAGAGAGAAGACACAAATTACTAATATCAGAAATAAAAAGGGGACATCACTACTGATTCTATGGGCATTAACAAGATAATAAAGGAATATTATGAACAACTGTATGCCCATAAATTTGATAACCTACATGAAATGGACCAAATTCTTAAAAGACATAATCTACTAAAACACAACAAGAGAAACAGATCATCTAAATAAGCCTATATCTATTAAAGAAATTAAATCAATAATTAATAACCTTCCCAAAACAGGAAGGACCAGGTCTAGATGACTACACTGGTTTATCCTGTCAAATATTTAAGAAAGAAATCATACCAATTCTTTACAATCTCTTCCAGAGAATAGCAGAGGGAATACTCCCTAATTCATTTTATGAGGCCAGACATTATCTTAATACCAAAACCAGACAAAGACATTACAAGAAAGGAAAACTACAAACCAATATCTCTCATGAAATAGATGCTAAAATCCTCAACGAAATATTAGCAAATAAAATCCAACAATGCATAAAAGGAACTATACACTATGACCAAGTGGGATTTATTCCAGATATGCTAGTCTGGTTCAACATTCAAAAATCAATTAATGTAATCTATCACATCAATAAGTTAAAGAAGAAAAATCATGGGACCGCATCAAAAGATGAGTGAAAAAGATCTAACACAATCTAACACCCATGCATGATTAAAAAAACACCTCTCAGAAAACTAGGAATAGAAGGGGATACATATCATAATGTGTTGATCAAAACCCATACAGTGTACAATATAAATAGTGAACCCTAAAGTAAACTATGGACTTTAGTTAATAATAATGTATCAATATTGCCCCATCAAATATAATAGAGGTACCACCCTAATGCATGATGTGAATAATTGGGGAAACTGTGTAAGTGGGGGCGGGGGAGGAGGTAAGAAAGCATATGAGAACTCTATTTTCTGCTTAATTTTTCTGTAAACCTAAAACTCTCTGAAAAATAGTTTGTTAATTTTTAGATTTATTTTAGGAGAGAGAGAGAATGAGCACGGGGTGGAGGGCAGAAGGAGAGGGAAAGAGAATCTTAAGCAGACTCCATGCTGAGTGGAGAGCCCTAAGCAGGGCTTGATTTCACGACCCTGAGATCATGACCTGAGCCAAAACCAAGAGTCGGACACTTAACTGACTGTGCCACCCAGGCATCCCTAGTTCTTATTTAAAAAACAAACAAACAAACAAACAACATACTACAAAATCTCTTTAAATAAATCAATGATTCCAATACATGAATAAATAGACCAATGGAATAGAAAAGAAAGTCCAGAAATAAGCTCAAATACATATGTCAATTTAGTATATGATAAAGGTGGTCATCTCAAATCACTGGAAAAGATGGAACTTTTAAATTAAATTAAATTAAATTTTTAATTGAAGTGTAATTAACATATAGTATTATATTAGTTTCAAGTGTACCAGTTTGTTCTCTGTATTTAAGAGCCTGGTTTTTTGTTTGTCTCTTTTTTCTTTGTTCATTTGTTTTGTTTCTTAAATCAAAACATCTGAGTGAGATCATATAGTATTCGTCTTTGTCTGACTAACTTCACTTCCATAATGCCCTCTAGGTATGGATGCGTGTTGTTGCAAAGGGCAAGATCTCAATCTTTTTATTGCTGAGTAATATTCCATGGTATATATATATCACAGAAAAAATGGAACTTTTTAATATATGGCAATGGGACAACTGGATAACCATTTAGAAAAGTTAGATCAACACTTCGTACCATACATAAGAATAAACTCTAAATGGATCAGAAATCTAAATGCAAAAAGAACAAAATCACACAAGCACTGGAAGAAAAACATGGATGAACGTCTCTAGTTTAGGTATAAGGCAATGGGTCTCAGCTGCAGACAATTTTTTTAAGATTTTATTTATTTATTTATTTGAGAGAGAGAATGAGAGAGAGAGCATGAGAGGGGGGAGGGTCAGAGTGAGAAGCAGACTCCCTGCTGAGCAGGGACCCCGATGTGGGACTCGATCCCGGGACTCCAGGATCATTACCTGAGCTGAAGGTAGTCGCTTAACCAACTGAGCCACCCAGGCGCCCTGCAGATAATTTTTTAAAAGGTTTTATTTTTATTTTTTACTTTTTGAGAGAGACAGAGAGAGTGAGAGCAAGCATGAGCAGGGGTGGGGGGGAGTGGAGGGGTAGAGGGAGAGGGAGAGAATCTTAAGCAGGTTCCACACCCAGCACAGAGCCCAACTTGGGGCTCAATCTCCCAACCCTGAGATCATGACCTGAGCCAAAATCAGGAGTTGGATGCTTAACCAACTGAGCCACCCAGGCAGCCCAGCTGCCAATAATTTTGACCCCAGGGGACATTCAGCAATGTCTGGAGACATTTTCAGTTGCCACAACTATCAGAGTCCTACTGGCATCGAGAGGGTAGATGTCAGGGATGCAGCTAAACAACCTACACTGCACAGGACAGCTCTCCACACAAAAAAGACTTATCAGCCCAAAGTGTAATTAGAGCAAGGGCTAAGATCCCTAGAACAGGGGAAGGCTAGTGACTACTACTTAAAATCCAGATGCAATAAAAAAAAATATTGATAAATTTGACTACATAAAAATAAAAAATTTGAAAAGTTTTTATTTTGAACAAATTTAAGTTTCCCCTAATACTTTGCATTTTGTTTTTTTATCATAATTATGTGATATAAAGAAACAGTAAAGAATTTTTTCACCAAGTCCTTCATAGATGCCCCCAGACCCACTCTAATGAGCCATACAAATTTAGCATTTTCTGTATGGGCCATGATGTGGACAAGTTTGGAACTACTGCTATATATAATGCCCATCTGTGTCTTAAATTGTTAACCTAACCTGCTTCTCTGAATGTCCTCCTTATAATATCTACATTCTTGTGTGTCTATGTGTGTGTGACTGTGCATGTGTAGGTGTGTCTTGCAAATTTCCTTGAGGCAAATATATTTGCTAAAGTAACTATATTTTATGTTTACATTTATTCAGTGCAAGGCACTGTCCTAAGTGCTTTATGTATGTTAACATATTTAATCATCACCACAAACCTAGGAGATAGGTTCCTTTTTATCCCCATTTTACAGATGACCCTAAGACAAAGCAGTGAGTAAACTTGCCCAAAGTCACACTGCTACTAAGTGGTGGAGCCAAGAAAGGATTCATTAACTGCTTGATAAATATTCTCTATTATGGTGTTGATGAATAGTAATGTTGAATTGCTTAAAAAACTTAATCTATTGGGGTGCCTGGGTGGCTCAGATGGTTGGGTGTCTGCCTTCGGCTCAGGTCATGATCTCCAGGGTCCTGGGATCGAGCCCCGTGTCAGGCTCCCGGCTCAGCAGGGCGTCTGTTTCTCCCTCTCCCTCTGACTCTCCCCCTGCTTGTGCTCTCTCTGTCTCTCTCAAATGAATAAATCTTAAAAAAAAAAAAAGCCTTACTCTATTTCAACTTTTATTTTTATGTTTTGCCAAAGCTATTTTTGAATGGAGCTTCTTTTTCTTTTAAGATTTTATTTTTAAGTAATCTCTACATCCAACATGGGGCTCGAACTTACAACCCCGAGATCAAGTCTCATGCTCTACTGACTAAACTAGCCAGGCGCCCTGAATGGAGCTTCTTTTATTTTTTTTATTGTGATAAGAACACTTAACCCGAGATCTACACACTTAACACACTTTTACATACCCAATACAGTACTGTTAACTTACAGATCTCTAGAACATATTCATCTTGTGTAATTGAAACTTTATACCTGCCAAACAACTCCTAATTTTCCCCTTCTTTTGAATGCATGTCCATGCTCACTCTGCTCCTGTATTCATTCCTATGTTGCATGAATGTTTTTAGTTTGTCATTATTCATTCGTTATTACTGCAAACACTGCACTAAAAGGCATATGCCCTGTGTGCTTTGGGATATTAAATGTCCCCTTGTTATATTTGTATTAATAACAATTGTGCATAATGAACATGGTATAGAAAACTTCTGACAGAACTACTACTATGGATCTAGCAAACTCTTCTAAAGCAGCACTGTCCCTATAAAAGCTCCATTAAGAACAAGAATGTTTTCTTTTTTCACACTGAGGCCTATTCTTCTAGCTGATACAACACAGTTATGACAGTGCATGGACTTGGGCCACCCAAATGCAAGAAATACCTGTGTACTGTTGTAGAATTTTGACCATCTCTTGTAAGCGTTGGCCCTGAGGGCTGAATTTGAAAATGATGTCATGGTGATGTAAGAAGCTGTGTAAGCGATAAAAGATTTTTCTGGCTTCAAACATTGTTTTAACATAAAGATCATGGGTGCTAGAAGAGAAAGCAGGGACAACATGTCAATGAATGACTTAGATGATGGCGAACAAGTGTCTTCCTTGCTTTCCTGTCACTGACCTGCTTATCTGGCAGTTGGTCTCCTGGCTGAAAGCACATTTCAGAAGTATGTCCAGGGTCATCAAGTTGATGTGCTCATCGACCTCCACCACTGTGTCCTGAGAGCTGCAAATCTTCTCCCACTTACCCTGGTACAGGAGGTCAAGATCAACGACATCATCATCATCAAACTGCCTTTATCTGAAAGCTCCTCCCTGACCCTGCCCTTAGGATGTAAGGTAGACAAACCTGACCTAGGAGGAGCCAGAGGTCATGTAGGTAAATTAAGCAAGTGCTTACTTGGCATGAGGAAGGGAAAACTGCACCCAGCTGGGTGAGAAAGGGCAAGGAGCAAACCAGGTCTGGTAAATGGCTGAGTTAAGTATCTTTGGCCTTTCAGTTATTACCATAACTGCATTACAGCAGATCAGAGTCTCAGTAAAACAGACCTAGAATTACAAAGGGTCTCCCCAGGGCTTCCTCCATCTTCAGTCCCCAAATTGCTAGACACCCCACCCCACCATCACTACTGCCAACCACCATAGCCACACTTAAAATAAACTTGGAACATTGTAAAAAACATTTTCAATTCAGGGGCGCCTGTGTGGCTCAATCGGTTAAGCATCTGACATATAGTACATCATTAGTTTTTGATGTAGTGTTCAACCATTCATTAGTTGCATATAACACCCAGTGCTCATCACCACACGTACCCTCCTTAATACCCATCACCCGGTTACCCCATCCTTCCACTCCCTTCCCTTCTGTAACCCTCAATTTGTTTCCCGGAGTCCAGAGTCTCTCATGGTTTGTCTCCCTCTCTGATTTCTTCCCATTCAGTTTTCCCTCCCTTCCCCTGTGGTCCTCTACACTATTCCTTATGTTCCACATATGAGTGAAACCATATGATATTTGTCTTTCTCTGCTTGACTTATTTCACTTAGCATAATCCCCTCCAGTTCCATCCATGTTGATGCAATGGTAGGTATTCATCCTTTCTGATGGCTGAGTAATTTTCCATTGCATATATGAACCACATCTTCTTTTTTTTTTAAAGATTTTATTTATTTATTCATGAGAGACAGAGAGAGAGAGAGAGAGAGAAGCAGAGGGAGAAGCAGGCTCCCCGCTGAGCAGGGAGCCCGATGCGGGACTCGATCCCAGGACCCCGGGATCATGACCTGAGCCGAAGGCAGACGCTTAACCATCTGAGCCACCCAGGCGCCCCTGAACCACATCTTCTTTATCCATTTTCAATTCAGAAGTGGGGAACAGGGAGAAGCCATGAAAGAAGCAGGTTTGGGGAGTGACTCCCAGTCAAGTGCTCCCTCTGTCCACTTTAGTTCTCCCCCCAAGTGACCTACTCACACTACTTGAGATGTTTTGTGACTGAAACTGCCATAAAGTTCCCTGTTGAAAATGTATTTGTCATAATAAGCAATCTTTGTGTAAAACACAAATAAATCTGAATGGTTAAAATCAGATCAACCTACATTTGTTGAGCACCTATGCCGTAGCTAGGAGCTGTTATGCATTTGGAAATCTTGGGAAAAAAGAGATTTTTTTTTAAAAGCTTTTACCCAAATGTCAATTGTTTATTCAATTGCTTTCATCTGGAATTATGTAAGTTTTACTGAGTAAATAAAGTAAATTTAGAAGAAATGAGAACAAAGGGGAGGCTCAAGGCTAGAGGCACTGGGCACAGTTCAGCAGAGGATAGGAGTTATGAGTGGGGCCTCAGGTACAGGTGGGATAGAGAAACAAGGAAGACAGAAGCGGTTTTATTGAAACGGAGATAAACCCAGTACCACCACTGGCTAATTTGCAATTGTGCACAAAGCTGCGCAGCACCAGAATGGACGGAGCATACGTCCCGCCCCCGCCCCCTAGCCGGCACCACTGGTTCTCTACCAAGAGTGAGACATGGGTCTTTATACCCCAACCAGGGCGACTGAGGTTAAATCTGCTTCGGTGAGAACACAGCCAATCAGCTGGTAACAGTGGTTCTTTCTTGGGAAAAAGGATGGGTTTGTAAATGAAGGTGGAGGGAAACTTTGGCTTTGTTTGTGGGGTTTGAAGTGTTTCTGATAAAACTGGTATTATGAATTACTTGTCTGATTTTCAAACAAGGTACAAATTTAAAAATTTAAAATATACCATGTACAATTGGAGTTTTGGCATGGAGTTCATTTATAAATCAGAGACCACCCATAGGAATATTCCTCTGCCAACTTCCTCTTGCCCCTTTGAAAGGCCCAAGTCAGCTTCTAATTATCTGCCACTATCCACAAGAAGAAACTCACATCTGCGACTTTAATGTAGACACTTAACCTTTGATAGGGTCTTTGTGACCATCAGGCAAGTTCATTCTAACTTCCACACCTTTGTTCATGCTAACTAGAATTCCCTCACCTGTATTATCCACATAATCAAGTCCAGCTCATATTTCCTGGCAAATCTGAGTCTCCTCTGAATCTGAAGCCACTATAGCTGGCCCTGGTTCCCTCACTGATCATTTATAGTACTTACCATCTGAATCTCACTACTCGGTACTTGGTTTACTGCCATAGGGTCTCAAAATATATCTAAGTCAGATGACCAAATCTTCATCATTTTTAATCACCCAAAGAACCAAAGCAAAGGTTTACATAGACACCTCTTGCTCAGCTGATAATTGCACATTGGGTAATTTTTAGGAGCCATCCCCCTTTGGCTTTCACTACCCACTACACATGTAGAATACATTCCCTGTTGGAAGCACTCTGCACCACACCAGAGCACTTTTTGTCCCTTCACTTACCAGCATCGTGTTCACAGAATGGGCCATCACCCCAACATATGATTTCAAGATGTTAACATTGAACGCAGGAGTTAGTAGTTCACGGTGCTGGAACCACTTGGGTCCGTCTAGACTCACAAGTCCTTTTCCTTGAGAAATAAAAGGAAGAAAACCTCATGCCATTTTATTAAATGAGGTGAGGAAGGAGAGATGAGGAACACAACATCATGGGGTGACCGTGGCACACAGGTAGTCACAATAGAGTGGAAATCAGAGCAGTGTTCATTTATTAAGTTGGAAGTCAGTTTGATGCTTACATCTGGGATGGATGTATTTAATATTGTGAGGAAGACCCCAAGTTTTGCAGCCTGATGAGTGCGCCGATCCAGATACTGCACTACCTGTGTAGTAACTGAGTAAGTCACTTAATCCTCCTGAGGCTTGGTTTTCTCAATGATAAAATGTGATAATAAGCATCTACTTCACTGTGTTGCTGTGCAGATTAAATGAAGGTGTATACACGAGGCACCTGGACCAGCCTCTAGCTTGTGGTAGAAACAGAACAAATATTCGTCTCCTCTTGACTCTAAACCAATCCATAAACTACACTGTGAGCACAATATTTACAAGGAACTAGACCTGAGTATTCACTCTGTCCCCAGATGTCTCCTCCTTGAGGCTTAGCCTGTGCTTTACACCTATAAATGATACGAAATGGAAACACTCATCAAGGTTAATGCTTTACAACTTTCTGTTGCAAGAAAGATCATTAAAGATTTGGTTTTAAAATGACCTTAAAGTTTATTAATATGTGATTTCCATCATTCATTGAGAGCTTACAACATGTTAGGCTTGTGATGCATGGTCCGGCGCTGGTCCAATGCCAGCCATTACACTAAGTGTAGAAAATATGTGCTTCACTTAATCCTCACAATGGCCCAGAGACGTAACACTCATTAGATGTTTTCCCCAAAATCACATTCAACTAGTCAGTGGGAGGCAGTATTCAAATCCAAGTAGCTCTGAACCCCAAACCTACAGTTTCTTTCATTTATTTCCTTCTTTGTCTAATATAAATACCAATTACATGACTAAAAGTCTTAATTTATCCGCTCATGGAATAGTGTCAAACTATATTTCAGGGCAAAACTGCACTGGTTTGCAAATGGAAATAAAGGAACTCCAAAAAGAAAGGGGAAGAACCAAGAAAACAAGAGAGAAGAAAGGATAAAATAAAGGATATAGATGTGAGGCTGCAGTTTTAAAGACAGAGATGGGACTGATTCACACACATGTGCCTTGAGAATGAGACTTTGGGGAGAGAAATGGACAAAGAGGGTTCCTAGGAAGTTGTGCTGTGTTGACTTAGCACTCCCTCTTGATCTTCCCCCTAGATAACTTGCAGTATAGATCTACCATCTTCTTAATGTTTTTGAGCATTCTGATTTGTTTCTTTGGAATACTCTACAATAGCAAGGGGACCTCAAGTGAGAGAGTGAGTCACTCCGCTCTCTTGCACATACATACCAGGACATGGAATCAAGAACTTGTACAGGTACTTGGACTTGGGATCTGCAGAGTCAAGCAGAGGAAACAAACGACAGCATTAGAGGGAAATTACCAAAGCTGGAGAAGGTTCTCTTCATTTGCCTTCATTAAGCATAAATAGCAAAAAGGAGCCCAGGGCTCACCCCTTACACCCTTGACAGGCCTAGGAAAACCACAAGTCTTGGTTGAGGAACCAGAGAACAACAAACCTAGGAGGCAGATAGAACACAAACCCAGATTCTTCCCTTGCTTACACTTTCTCCAGCAGAAACAGATTGCCTGAGGGTTACCAAGTTTCCAAAACAGGATTTGGGACAATATATTATATCCTTCTTGGAAAGTAGATTAGTAAGTATAGCAGGGGCTGGCAAACCACAGAGATAGGGGGACAAATGCCTCTTGGGATTCTCGTAAACTCTAACATGGAGGTATTTTATAGCTCTTGTCCTTTAAGAGGTGAGCAAGAAATAAATCAGGGCTGGGGGCATGGGAAGCATGGAGACTTTCAGGGAGAGTCTGTTTTCCCTTATTAGGTTTTACTAAAAGTAATGGAGACAGTGGACAGGGAAGAAAGATTAGAATATAAGATTTTAGTTAAAACTAAGTTAGTTAAAACAAAGATGATGGAGCAAACACCAGATATTTTAATTTTGTGCTATGAGATGATCCACCACAGATGCCTTGAAAAAGGCTTGGATGGGGGAGTTAGATGACTTGTACCCCAAAAGGAAACACAGTTGAGAAATATGCAGAAAACAAAAAACAAAATTGGGACCACAGTCAAGAGGTTTTACTGGTAAATTAATGATCTAGCATTCAGGTTTACGTACTGAACCAGCAGAGGCAGAGCTACTTCTGAATTCCCCTGAAGACTTACGCTCAAGCAGGGGGTTGAGGGGGTGGGGAGTATTGCTGACACTGAAGTCACAAAACCAAGAGGCAAAGGAAGCCCTTGGTGATCCGGTGATGCCAGCTGGGCTTTAAGATATACCCCCAAGGGCCCATGGGCATCTGAGCTGGACAAGGCACTGGGGGGGATGTGATAATCCCTTTCAGGGTTGGTCAGAAACCTCTCCCCACTTTCTCCAGGTCTTTCTTTTTTAATTCCAGGTTAGTGAACACAGTGTTATATTAGTTTCAGGTGTACAATGTAGTGATTCAACAATTCCATACATCACCCAGTGCTCATCACAACAAGTGCACTCCTTAATCCCCATCACCTATTTCACCCATCACCCCCTCTGGTAACCATCATTGTGTCTCTAGGTCTATTAAAGGCCCGATTTTTTTTTATTATGTTATGTTAATCACCATACATTACATCATTAGTTTTTGATGTAGTGTTCCATGATTCATTGTTTGCGTATAACACCCAG